CTGAAAAAATTCTATGAGGAAAAAAGCGCCATTTCGCCTTCATGTGTCATTTATCTATCTATCAGATTTGTACCTCGCCCTCCCAGCCGAAGCCAGCTCAGGGCGGCTTACATAAAAGAATAAAAACACACAAGTAAGCAATTTAAATAATCCTAAAACCATATAAAGCACTCCAACATTAAAAGGTGCTAAACACTAAATAATGCCAAATGCGGTTGCTGAAAGTTTATGAAGCCGGCCATGGGTCCCTTCTCACGGTAACTGGACTCACACAACAGAATCTTTTTTCTTTTTGTGGCTCAAGCAATCTTTATTTTGTTTTTTATTATTTGTAAACCATTACTAAACATTTGTTTTTAATATAGGTAACTTAAACGAGGCGATATAACAATCTAAAAAAATGATTATATACAAGCTAAAATGTGTAGATAGGCAAATAAACATGTAAATCTAAAAATAGTTAGATTCCCAAACTGACCTGGTATAGAATTTCCAATGTCTCTGAATGTGTGTGTGATCAACCAAGAGTTGCAATAAAGTGGAACATTTCTCATACTGCAGTCCGCTATATGATGGAGCTAAAGGATGACGCAATGTCCTACCACGGGTTGTGTCACACAGCTCCCAGAGGAGGGAGGAGGGTTGCCATTCCTCAGTTGGGAGCAGGAGATCCCCCGATCTTTGGGGCATGCCGCGCTGACGTCACACAGAAGTGATGTAAGCACATTGGGGACATCACGTGGTGACGCTCTTGTTTTTGGGCAAAACTCTGTGATTTGAGGCTGATTTTACCACAGAGTTTTGCCCCCAAAATGGAGCGTTGCCGTGCAACGTTCCAAATGTGCTGATGTCCCTTCAGTGTGATATCAGCAAATCATGGTGCACTGCTTAGCTCCCAGAAAGTTCAAACCTGGCAACCCTGAGAGGCAGGGGAAAGTAAGGGGGGGAGAGAAAGGGGGGGGAAGGCCTAAGGATCAATCCAGGGCTATTTTTGGGCAGGGATGCACAGGAACGGAGTTCCGGCTGGCTCCCAAGTTGACCACACCCAGCAGGAACTCATTAGCATAATAGGCCACACCCAACAGCAGAAACTCATTAGGATTGGCTACATTAGGGGTGTGTGGCCTAACATGCAAAGGAGTTCCTGCTACAAAAAAAGGCCCTGGGTTTTGACAACAAACAAGGTAAACAGAATAACAAGCAAAAGGTGGGTGTGGCTGGATAACGACACTTCTGGAAACATGGGTCCAAACTGAGATCCCCGATTCTTCTCATGAACCAGAAGAAGAGTGGGAGATCTCTGAGTCCCGGGGCAGAACACCAGCAATGGGAACCTCTACTGCCCTTTCCAGAAGACCCGCAGGAGAACAGCTCTCTTCGGCTGTGGAAAGCCAGCAAAGCAGGGAACTGGGTCAAAAAAAAGTCCATAGCAGTTGGTTGCGGGTCCCTTGGTAGGGTTGCCAAGTTGATCTTTGCCGGGAGCGGGGGGCTCCCAGCCGGCATCTGGTGCGTGCGCCGCACACACGTCACCCGGAAGTGACGGGAGGACGCCAGGCATGCTGGGGGTGGGGCCATGGCCATACAAGGGAAAACCATCGAGTTTTCCCTTGTATGGCTGTGGCCCTGCCCCCAGTGTGCCCAGCGTCCTCCCGTCACTTCCAGGTGACGCGCACGCCGGGGAGGAGTCCCCCCCGGGGGGACTTGGGATCCCTATCCCTTGGCCTGAACCCTACAAATCTGTACGTGGATTCTCCTGCCTACTCAACTCTTTCTTGCCAGCTGGTCGAAGGAACACAGTCTTCTCTATCCCTTTTGCTGAACCCTGCGTTCCAGCTGCCTGGGTGGCTCTGCCCATTCCTACCTGAGGCAATGGGTCACAGCCAGTAAGCAGTTGACACCAGCCATCAGAAATTCACCAATAGGGTTGCCAGACCCCAGGTCCTGGTGGGTGTTCCCCTGCTTCTGAGGGCTTCAATCTGCCCCAGCCCGGCTGGCCAGCGGGGGAAACCCCACCCCCAAACCCACCCACCCGGCTACCCCTCTCCCTCCTGCCTGATTTAAAGGATTTCAGCTGATTGACGGGGACCGCGTGACCCACCAACCAGCTGGACGGTCCTTTAAATCCAGCAGGAGGGAGGGAGGGGGAGGTTGCGGGCGCAGGCTCTGCTTGTAAAGACCCACCCAACCCTGGAATGCCACCCAAATCCCCCCACTAGACCGAAGAGGGGACCCGGCCTCCTTATTCACCAATGCTCGTCAAAGTAAGTACTTTCGAAACTTCAGTGCCCATTGAGTAAGCAAATTCTAGGGGAAAGGCCATGCCTTTACCTTGCAAAACACAAGGATATTCATGTTGTATTCTAGAATTAGAATGATCAGGGGTCATTTTGTAGAAAAGGAAGTGCAGGAGCTCATTAGCATAACTCATTAGCATAACTTATTTGCATATGCCACACCCCCTGACATCACTGGAAGTGTGTCAGAAGGCAACACCCACCCCTCAGGCTCCACTGGACTCTTTTGGATTGCTAGCTATTGGGGGTGGGGGAACGTGCAGATCTGTCCTCGCAGAGGAGGGAGAGCTTGTACCTGAATAAACCGTGGTCTTAAAGGTGCCACTGGACTGTTTTGGACCGGGGGGCCCAGGGGGAGCTCTGCAACTTACCTGGCTGCTTCTTGCTCTGACCGAGGGCTGCTGGGAGCAGGGGGTGGGGCTTGTTGCATGTGCCCGCCCCCTGGGCTCTTTACTGCCGGAGCTCTGCTCCTGTGCGCTCCTGCAGGAAGTGACCCCTGAGAATGATACAAGCGGGAGCCTGCAAGAGTTGTGGGGGAATGAATCCCATCATCTCCCCTCAAATTCTCATCAGGCCTGCCACACCTCCTGAGCTTCTCCGTTAGGCCCAGCGTGGTTCCCAGACTCCACCACTGCCAACAACCATGTTGGGGGTAGGTGCATTCTCTCCACTTGCCCAAAGAACACACTTTATTGGGGGTGGGATTTAATACCCCAGTGTATTTTTTAAGATGTCCAATTTTTGTGCAAGCCGATGGGGTCCCCCATGTTTGCAGAGACATCTGTTTTGGGTAAGTGTGGCTTCAATCCATGGATTTAGATATTCGCAGACGGAAGCCACAGTTGAGAAATACATATATACATCTTAGAGGTCTCCCTGTTTGCACCCGTTCCAGGATATGGATGCTGTTCTTTGCCTACATGTAGCAACGTAGAGAGATCTATGCAGATTTCTTCAGAGTAAGGTCAGCCCTCTGGATTTTGCAGAAAAGGTTGCCATCTCAGGAAACTGCCAGGCTGGTTTAAAAAAAAAATCCATTTCAAAAGAGTCTGTTGCAATGTAGGGAACTGTATTGATGTATCTGAAGGAGATGGTGTCCTTTTAGGTAACTATATGTTTGAGATGTGAGGTAATTTTGCAGAACTGTGGCATTTATTTAAAGAGATTGCCTCAATTTTAGGAAACAGGCCATGTATGTGAGCGAGATTCAAGTCCACTAGCAGTTTAGAGACCAACCATCAAGATGGCTGGGGGAGTTAAGTTTTCAAGAGACAAAGCTCCCTTTGATGTTGTATCTGATAAAGAGAGTGCTGACTTTCAAAAGCTTATACCCTGATGAACTTGTTGGTCTCTAAGGTGCTACTAGACTCAAATCTGGCTGTCCTACCGCAGACAAACATGGTTGCCCTCTGAAACTGCGGCCATTTTGTTTTACTTCATTACGAGGAGCTTTGCAGCCGAAGGTTTAGGTTGGGGGTTCTCCGTCTTGCTGAGTCTGAGGGAACTGTTAGAATGTTGGGAACAGGAAATTGGCTGCCATGACAAAATGGAAGCCAGAAGGGCCAGGGCCAAACAACAAAAATGGCTGCCATGGGGTAATGAGGCGAGGGTTGCCACCTTTATGGTGGAGCTGGAAATGTCCTTGAAGTAAAACTGAAGAAATGGCAGCTGTAGAGGGTTGGACATCACACTGAGCTCCCTCCCTAAGCACTACCTCCCAATCAATGCTCCCTGTAAGCTATGGAGTCCTGTGAGCAAAAATTCTCCTTTGTGAGCTACTGGCATTAAAGTTGTGAGCGAGTGATTTGGCTGCTGCATAAATTAGTTTGCTCTGGAGCGATCCTTCCTGAGTGAAGACAAAAACATGCGAGCCGGAGGCTAAGAAACTGTGAGCTAGCTCACACTGAGTCAGCTTAGAGGGAACACTACTCCTAATCCCTTAAACTTAAGTCTGATGGTGAAAACAAGGCCTTTGCTTCCATGATGGAGAACATAAGACCCCTGTTTCTATCATGAAGAGAGTTCACATCGTATAAAAGTGTGGAGAAATCCTGCTTTCGTAGCAATGGACTTTGCAATAGGATATTCCAATCTTTCATAGTAACGTACTGCTAACCTGTCTCTAAAAGATGTACCTTGTAACCGGAACGTTCTTAACCACAAGTCAGCTGCTACATGAGATCAGACCTGTCTAGCTGTGCTTCTGTACCTCAAGAGAATATCTAGTAAAATTCCACGGTGTATTGACCATGATCTAAAAACCATCTACAAAGGGTCTCTGTAAGTCTGTATCTATAGTCGTAGGGGGTAGCTTGTGGGAATGAGTGACTCAGTGCACACGGGGGGGGGGCGCTCCATCACTCTAAGGGTGCGTTCAGACGGGGCGTTTCTGCCGGCATAAATGGTACTGGTTGGAACTGGTGCAGTTTATGCTGGCAGAAACGCAATCACACTTACCTCCATTCAGCGGAACCCATCGCAATACGCCCGTCTACACTCGTCTTCGGGTTTTTTTTAAAAAACCTTAGTTTGCGCATGCGCATAGGCAGCCATCCACAGAATGGCGATCTTGCGCAAAGAACCCTGTCGTACATTTAAACTTTAAAGTTTAAAGAGCACAGTAGCCTCCCTGAGGTCCCGGACGCCCCCGAAATGCTACAGTAAGGCCCTTTTCTTTTTCCTTTTAAACAAACGGCAGGGCGAAGCTTCGCCCAAGCGCATATCGTTGTCCTTTAAAAAAAATAGCGGGCGAAAATCGGAAGCCTCAGTCTTCCGAACGGAAGTAGCTGTGCAACTGAGGAGAGCAATCAGACGGCGAGGTACAATGTTTACAACCATTGCACTCAGGATACCACCACTTGGTGACCTAGTGGCAGAGTGCAGCGGTGTAAAGGGCTTTACAATGGTTAGGGACAGGAGGCAGATGTTCGCCGTCGGAACGCCGGTAAGTACAACGATTGCAACCGGCACCTATACCGCCGTAAAGCCCCCATCTGAATGCACCCTAAGTGTATATAGGTGTTATCTCCTTAAATGGGATGCCTCTCTTTGTCTTAACCTGGGAGCTGCCGTCTGATCCCTCCTCGCTCTCCCTTTGTTGTCTCTCACCTCACATGGCCTTCCATGGAGATACATGTCTCTCCTGTAGGGATAACACCCTCATATTCCCACACACATGATGCTGGACAAGCTGGCCGTTTGTGATAGCGAAAGTATTCTTTATGTTAGGCTTC